TCCACAAAGATCACAACTGAAAGGTTTCTGTCCTGTGTGGATTCTCATGTGTGTCTTTAAATGATGTTTTCTAATAAATGTTTTGCCACAGTCTTCACAGGTAAACTTCTGTCCAGTTTTTATCTTCCTTTGTGAGTCACCAATTTTGTTCTTTGTAAAACATGTCTTAATATCCAGCAACCCTGGAGACGCCATTTCTGAATTTGGTTTCCTAACAAGTTCTCCATCTGACTCAGGAGCTCTGGCCATGCCTTTGGTTTTCAGTCCAGAGTCTGACAAGTGTTTCAGCTCTACATCATCGTCCTCTTCCTCCTTCTTGGTGTCTTCAGATGCGAAGAAGTTGGAATCATCTTTATAATCTTCTGTCTTGATGAAATCTCCACCATTGTTTTCTTCTGGAAGTTCTCTGTCTTTAATTTGGCCTTGATAAAACTGTGAGAGCAGAGGGGATTGTTCATCATTCTCACTCTTTATGGCACTTTCTGTCTCCTCCTTCACATTTCGCAGCTCTTCCCCCTGACTGATCCAGACTCTCTCCTCTTCCTCCTTTATGTGGTAGGTCTTTGTGCCATGCAGCTCCACATTAGGTTTTTGGTATTTTGGGGCTTCTTCTTTAACCATCAGCATCTCTTCATCATCTGCAGAAAACACTATGCATCAGTGGCGTGCGGTGAGGTTCAATCCTGGTGAGGCACTGACTTATGACTTAGACACCATGCCTGTTACTGGACCTACGGAAATTTCGCGCAGGCATACAAAGCTGGAGGGCAAAAAGACTAATCATTTACATGTCATCCATAGCCGCGTTAACTCAGTGAAACTTAGAAATGTAGATATTGATTTTGTGCTATGATCCACAGCAAAGTTATCTGTATTCGTTAAGCTACGCAGATTTGTTGCCATAGCAACAGACAACAATGCCACTTCATGTTTTAGGATTTAACACCAAAACCATTCAAGAATTTTGCACACAGAACAGAACATTCAGTCTGTTGTAGTACGTTTAAGGTTTAATGTTTTATTAATAAATAATTGCTGTGGTAGATTAGCTACCGCTTCTACTTTACTGAATTATTTAGACATACAAACTGTAGCCCAAAAAACGCACATTTCATAAAAAAAAAACCTCTTATTGCTGTCTTACCTTTATCTATCAATGAAATCCATGCACCGCTAATTCTGCACAAAAATATCCGTTCATCCAAAGCCAAGTCTATCCTTGGGATGTCTTTTCTACTCCGTTTGAGAATCATCAAACTGTCTCGAAGCAAAACTTTCAGCTCCGGTGTTGGTCTTCCTTTAGTTATTTTCTCCTGCTTCAACTGAAAATCCACTTTAGAAAACTGTTTAAGTGTAGAAATGTAGTCTTTCATGTTGACGTCAGAAGAGAGGAGAAAACAAATATATCACTGCACTTTACTTATTTACTGTATGGCTAGCTCCATGGCTAGCTCACTGTTTCTTACTCTGCAGTTGTGAAGTCACAATATCTGGGATCATGAGCGCCCCCTGCCATGAGGCAAGAGAACTGCCTGCCTCCCTTGGAGTCTGTTTTCTGCCGTTTCTGATCGCTCCTCGGCACACAAAACACGATATACACACAGTTGGTGACAAAAAACACTGTACATTATATACATTAGCTAAATTATGGAAAATCAGCCCATATATTAAATGTTTTTTAGCCATTTTATTGCCGGCGTACAGACAGGAGGAGCTGCTCCCATAGAACGGCAGCCAGTGCAGTTAGCGAGAGGTTGCGCAATCCCAGGTGAGGCTCAGCTCGCTGCTGCCTCACCGGCATCGCTTCTGAGCATTTGAATGGGAAAATGCGAAAATCCAGCGATTTTGAAGAAAAAAATCATCAGAATTGGTTAAGCTGAGTAAAAGATAGATACTTTATAGTACAAACCACAGGGTGAAAATAGCAATATAAATGGTTTTATTATTATATTATTTTTCCATGATGACAGGTGAGGCTCTGCCTCACCTGCCTCCCGTGACCGCACATCACTGCTATGCATATAAGAAAATATTTCAACTTCACTTTAAGTAACTCAAGAAACTGCACAGGCATTTGTGCCTGTCATTTATCTGGCATTAAATTCACACCAGATATTTTCAACTATCAAATATTCCTCAAAGAACAAGAAATAAAGGCTAATTAGTCCACTAAAAAGTTATTAGTAAAACCATTGTTATGATAGAGATTAAGTATTTTCTCCATGACTAAAGGCATGGAGAAAGAAATGTTGTCCATATTTAGACAGTATCTCATTTGTGCAAATCAATATCAGCTGGTTTCTGATGACAACTTGGCCTATAGGAAGGTTTTTCTTGATGAAACCTATGCACAGGAATGCGATTGATTAAACCAGAGACCTTCAGAAATTGTTGCAAAACATACTGTACAAATGGTGTAAAGCTTAGATTTGTGTTTCTAAACTTCTGAATGGTCCACTGACAATGGTAGATCCAGCTATTACATAAACACATGTTCAAATACTTAATTTCATTTGTTTTATTCAGTAGTTTTCCGACATCTATTAAGACTTACCAATGATGGTGGACTCAAGGTTCACACAGACAGACCGAGGGACGAGATTTCCAAAACCGGTCTCCATGAAGAAGGTGTTGGAGGAATCTCCTCTTCCAGAGGTTTTGTCTGTAGGCATTAATAAGTCCGGCTGGATGCAATCTGGCTCCCAACAAATAGCGTCAGTCTGAACACCAATCAAAAATGTAATTTGGCATCAAAGTGGGAAACTAAGCCATTATATAGCCAACCAATGGATACAGAACAGGCAACATAACAAATAATTACTACTGATTATTACTACTGGGAATTACTACTACCAGAGACATCTATAATGATCTAAGCAATTAGTGTAAGTAGCAGTAATGTCACTAAGCACCCCGTGTTTTAAACCAGGGGTTCCCAAACGTTTCCATGCCATGGCCAACCAAACAGCATTAGCTTCTGGCCACATGGAAACCAAGAAACAATGCTACAAAAAATAAAAAGAAACACATTTTTAGAATGTTCTAACTTCTATTCAACATTTACTTAATTATTACACTGTATGACCATTAAAATGCTAACATGTTTTAAACAGTGTATTATATTCCCACTAAAGAACAACTTTTCAACAAATTTTGATTATAATTTAAAAAAAAAAAGAAAGAAATTTAACCTCTCTCAAACATGTGTATGTTTGTCTGGAAATGACAGATACAGATTTCCCCATTGTTCCCTAGTGTGAAATATGTTCTTTAAACTGAAAATATAGTCGCGTTCTGCCAACGGTTTTGTTACGTTGGCATTATTATTAATCAGGCATCAACACAGACACCTATCCTTTGTGAATATCTGCGTTGCTAACATAACAGCTACTTTCCATCACAAACAAATGCAGTCACCTTATTACAAATCTTACACGGTTTATTAAATAGTAACCAACAACATCATAATTATTTTTAAAGTTATTATTAACCAACAGGCGATATAACTAACCCGTTTTTGCTCAAAATCGTCGTTAACTTTATGTTCAAAAAGAGTGCGTAAAATTCAGAGATTTTAAAATATCAGCTCTCGACCGAGCCACCTCCTGAGAAAAATCAACCTGAGGAAACAAAAGAAAATATTCTTACCATTTTCTTTATATTATAGACGTGCGAAGACAAGGTAGAAATTTATGAATGCCCAGAAGCTTCAGGACAGTTTCCCTTGTTTTCATTCTTCTTCTTGGAGATTGCAACCAACTTCAGAGGTGCATACCGCCACCTACTGTACATCAGTGTGTAACTACATAGCCTTTACCCACAGTATTCTATGTTTTAATTGTGTATTACTTAAAAATAGCACTGTTTTATAATCTTGATTTCTTTCTTTCCTCATTCTGTTCCTAAAATTTCGTTTGGCCTCAATTTTCTTCTTATCTCCACTACTTGCATATTTAAAATGTTTCATCAAAACATACAATTTCTTTTAGTTACCAACAGCCACATTTCTTATTAATTTTCCTTAAGATAAATAAAGATTCATTTAAGTAGGCATGAACTTCTCTCAATCTTTTCTATATTACACATTCTCTTCTGTGTCTTTCTCCAATTGTTTGTTTTTACAGTTGGTTGTATTGTGTACAATTTTCCTGTAAATTCATTCCGTCTTTTTTGGTCATTTTTCTTTTCCTTAAATTATTGATTTATCACCTCATTTACATAATATAATCCGTTCCTTTATGACAAGGTAAAGGAATGATTGTGCCCTTTCAACGGTGGCTGTACAACAATTGGTTCTTTATTTCAGGTGAGACCAGACCTCAACAAAACAAGGAGATTATTAATTACTATTAAAGCAAATTTATTATTAGGTGAAACGTAACAAGCCAAACAGAACAAAATATATTCTTGGAAGAATACACTTGCAGAGAGTTTTGATAGTTTAATAAGTTTTGCTCAAATTACAACTCTTGCGCATGTTTTCTATAAGCACACCAATAAAGAAAGTATGCTAATTACAATAGTCATTACAAGATCTGTGCAATTTACTAATTAATCTTTTTCCATCGACTTGGCAACAGTTCAAACCAATAATATCTAGTAAACAATGGAGAATTAATAGCTGCATAAACAATACTGGTTTCTCCATAGACCTACCATTAACGTATATACGCACTTGTTATACTAACAATAAAAGCTTAAATGTTATTTATTTACAAATAGTTGCAGTCTCGCAACTTGAGTAGCTTTAAAGCACTTGAAATTACTAAAAAGTCTGTTTTGCTCTCTCACTGTCCTTCTGAAGTAAATTTATGTCCCGTTTTGCCACTCTGGAAAGTCCCAGAATATTGAAGCTTTGATTAGCTGTTGTTGATTATGATTGGCAGAGGGGCCAGCCAATCATAGAACAAATCGGCCTTCAATTTACTGACAGACAAATTTTCAATAGTTTCTACAATGATGTTGTATTAGGTTTATATTGTGAATTGTTGACTGTATTTCCTTAATTTCCCCACGAAGTATCATAATTTGATCTGCCAACGCACTCTAACTATTGCCACAGGGGGGCACCATTACATTACATGTTGCTCTAATATAATTTTCATTGCGGAATAACAAACGTCACCATATAAACATGACAGAATTAAAGCAGCTCCCTGTTAAAAGGCATAGGATAACTTTTCCAATACTTTCCGAAGTTAATCTAATCAAATAAAAAGAGACATCGTATTTACATTCTTACTGAACAGATTTAAGGACTTTTCATATTCACTCATAGACATGTATTGGAAAATCAAGACAAAATGAGTTTCTTACCACACATTTAAATGCAAAGTTCAAGTATAAAGAATTATTTTCAAACCACACGTTCGCCCCAAAACTGGCTGCCAGAATTTCAAACTCCTTAAAAAAAAAAAAGACAGTTAAAAATCATCAGAACGGACCCAGAACAAAAATCAATATCATGAGAATGACAAATGGACAATAACACTAACTCTCCCAATCAGCTCTCTAAAATAAAGAATGAAATGGGGCAGCTTACATACTTCACAGTCAGTTACAATGGCTTGCAATGTATTCATACCCTTTTAACTTTTCCATATTTTGTTGTATTACAACCACAAACATTTCATGTGAAAGACCAACACAAAGTGGTATACAATTGTGAAGCTTACTTGTATAATGTATAACATTTTGTTTTGAACTTTCATATTAAATTCCAATGAAATTTGTTTGTTTGCGGTTGTGATATAACAAAATATAGAAAAGTTAAAAGGGAATGAGTACTTTTACAAGTCACTGCAGATTAAATATGTGAAAAAAGATGACTAATAAACTACCTGTTACACAACTAAACAAAAAGAGTTTTGTCCTGTGTGTCCACAGAGTTCACAACAGAAAGGCTTCGGTCCTGCTTGGATTAACATGTGTTTATATGTGGTTTTTGGCTAAATCTATATCCACAAAGACCACAACAGACATATTCTATTCTGTGTGGATATTCATGTGTCTGTTTAAACCAGATTTCTCATTAAATCTATGTCCACAGAGATCACAACTGAAAGGTTTCTGCCCTGTGTGNCTGTATGGCTAATTCCATGGCTAGCTCACTGTGTCTTACTCTGCAGTTGTGCAGTCACAATATCTGGGATCATGAGCGCCCCCTGCCATGAGGCAAGAGAACTGCCTGCCTCCCCTGGAGTCTGTTTTCTGCCGTTTCTGATCGCTCCTCCGCACACAAAACACGATACACACACAGTTAGTGACAAAAAAACACTGTACATTATATACATAAGCTAAATTATGGAAAATCAGTCCATATATTAAATGTTTTTTAGCCATTTTATTGCTGGCGTACAGACAGGACGAACTTGCTCCCATAGAATGGCAGCCAGTGCAGTTAGGGAGAGGTTGCGCAATCCCAGGTGAGGCTCAGCTCGCTGCTGCCTCACCGGCTTCGCTTCCAAGCATTTGAATGGGAAAATGTGAAAATTCAGTGATTTTGAAGAAAAAAAAAATCATCAGATTTGGTTAAATTAAATGAAAAATAGGTACTTTATAGTTCAAACCACAGGGTGAAAATATCTTTATAAATGATTTTATTATTCTATATTATTTTTCCATGATGACAGGTGAGGCTCTGCCAAACCGTTTGTTGTGCTGATTTCCAGAAACTCTTCTGAAAATCACCACAACAAAC